ACGTTAGGTTGGGTTAGGTTAGGTTAGGTTACGTTATGTTACGTTAAAGGAAACTGCAGTATGTGTACCTAATTCCTTTCTAAATCTATTTTTTTAATCTAAAACCATTGCTCCGTGTTGGCTCTTGATCTAATAGTTTAAGTGTCTTACTAAACGATCTTTATTTAACTCCAACTTCCACTTATAAACGTCGACAATATCGCCCCTCACTTTACGTCTCTCAAGACATTCAGTTTTCTTAATCTTTTTCTATACTCAAAGTTCCCAGTGTCCACTATACTGTACAGTGCGGTGAACCACATAACCGAGGCTTAACTTACTGATGCAAACTTGAACTCAATACTCAAGGTTGCTTCAGCCAGCCAGTCATTTGCACCAAACACTGATCCACTCGTCCAGACTAGGAAGTACAAGGTGTCGGCAGTACTGTACCAGGCAATAAAGTAGATATCATACGAGCAGACTTATAAATTCTAAATATATTTCAGTGTAGCTAAAATACAAGTTAGCTGTAGACTTGACATATTGTTTTATTTATTTTGCTTATATAAATCAAATTAAATTATATATATATTGGCCCGCTTAATGTACTGTACTGTACTTATTTCATTTATACACCTTAATTCATCTATGCTATGACCTGACAACAAAAAAATCAGTTAATGCTCGGTGCAATTTCGAGGTCCTGATAGATGGTTCTTCTCAGAGCAAATAGAAAAATAAAACTACAGACCTTCGACACGCCAAGACCTATACTGGTCAGGCACGTGTTGCTAAACTTGCTGTTGCTATGTGGACGACTTGAGAGAGAATCGACGCCGCCGACTCCCAGGCACCTCACAGTGTTAACGTTCAGGGGGATGAGAGGCACCTCCGCCCTGCCCCAGATGATCGTGTAAACAAACTGGAACAACTGGACCTTTAAGAGTTTTTCGCGCGCTTTTTTTCACTGAATAATATTACTGTAATATGCATTTGGTTGAGTTTAGTCAGTACAACTTCTTGATATAAAGCATTAGATACACTGATTAATAATACGGTATTTATATGGTTAGTTAATACGATGAAGAATTACTCGGGATTTTGTTTTATTTATTGTATTGAAGAAAACAGCTTGCCTCACAGGGTCTGGCATTATCCTCATTCATTTTGATGAGTGGTTAATGCGGCAACTCTCTACATATCTCGGTTTTTGTTGTGAGTTAATGAGTGTTTGTGAGGCTCCGTGGGGGGGAATTTTGAAGAAACTCTCTGGTTAAGTCTTCCAACTGGCGATTGTCGTAGATACAGAAATATACAGACACTATACCGACGAGAAGGAAAGAGAGATACATAGACGGAATGAGATAAAGAGAGAACTCCAATAAGACGAACAGACACAGACGAGTTGATGGACATACTAGTTTCACTTAATATAATACTGATTACAATGAATGAGATCACCCGATGATTAGCTCCCAACCTAATTCATCTGATGATTAACTTAACCTAACCTACAAGCGCAACATTATAGTTCATTAATACAAATATACAATTTATTTATACAATTTTACAATGAATGAATACAATGGTAAAACAGCTCTAATATTACAGTGGGTAAATACACCATTACAAATACTGAAGGCTGTATTCGTATCACGTAATACAATGCAACAGTAGATGAATACAATTGTACAGTAAATTTATGCAATACTACAGGAAGTACTGTATTTGCAACATCCAATAATATGATGTAACAGATAAAAAATACAGTAACTGAAAGAATACTACAGAAATAATACAATGAATTATTCAATCATAATTAGTGAGTATAATGAAATTAGTGAAGACAAATACAATAAAGGAATACAACAATAGTAGTACTAGTAGTAATTGTAGTTGTAGTCGTTGTATCAGTAGTAACATTGGTAGTAATTTTAGTACAGTAATAGTAGTCACGACGTCACGGTGGAACCAACTCTCCTTCCATTGGACGGTGAGAACCTCCGTCACAGGACTTCAAACACAACCAATGAAGCCCGTGTGGACGTCAGTGCTCGAGGATTCTGGACGCGGGGACAGCGAGCCTTCTTTGGCGTCAGACGGATATACGACCCCATGGCCGCATGTCACTGTAGCCTGTCTCTCGATGTTGCACACAGGAGGAACGAGAACGACAAGATAAGGGCATATGGGGAGAGAATTCAGAACGTGAATCAAGGCATCATCACTCCTCTGGTGTTCATAACCTCTGGCGGGATGGGACCAAGTGCAAGATGTTCCTACGCAAGGTTGGCCGAGGTGTATATGAACAGAAGCAGCAGCCCAGAAGTTATGTTACAGCCTGGATGAGATGTCGACTGTCCTTCTCTCTGCTTAGGTCTGCTTTGCTCTGCCTCAGGGGAACGAGATCATCGGCCCCAAAGCCAACAACGGTCGCAGATATTGACTATGAGGCAACAGTTACTGAATGCCGCATAGATCTGCGGTTCAACTAACTCAACACAGCTAGGATAGCTACTTACTGTATGCATTAGGATATTTAATATTTAGGTAATAAAATGGTGGCGAAGGTGTGGCTATTGGGGGAGGCTGGAGGCCACGTTGTAGTAGTAGTAGTAGTAGTAGTAGTAGTAGTAGTAGTAGTAGTAGTAACTGTGTCATAGTATTATAATCTTAACTATAACCAACAACCCCTGATCTACATTCATGACCCAGGAAAAAGCTTAAAATAACCCTACCCACTGCCCAGCTTGAGTCACACTAACCCACCCGGCCCGGTACCCACTCTCGAGGGACGCCATAAATACTGTACACATCTCCCGAGCAATAGCGTAAGATGGCAAGTGACGTCACAAGGCCGGGGAGCTGCCATCACCATCAAGAGGTTAATAAATAGACGCACGTGATTCAATACACCAGTCTAATGGATGGAGGGAAGGGGGGGTTCTTACGTCATTGGATTTTACCTCTTAGCACCCTTTCCTTAAGCCCCTTTAATCTTAAGCTCCTCTATATGTTTTATTAGAAGTTCTTTAAAAATTATTCATACTACCAAAAAAAGGATGATAAGAAAGTAATAATATACAACCTTGATATAGCCACTCGGTCCGTGTCGCAGAAATGTTGGGAGGTTAAAATGGCGGGCGTGAGGAAGGTCGTTGATCTGGTTCTTGATTGTGTGGTTAGGTTAGATTTTAGATACTTCTGCAGGTTCTTATTTGTATTCTTGGCACCATAGTAATACATACAGAACACTAACGATAATGAAGTTCTCAGAGGGATACGCTCCAAGTATGGTCAACAGGTCACAAAAGGTCACAAGAGGTCACATCATAAACCTCTAGCTAACCTCGTTCACACAGGCCACCAAACAGACTTCATCTCAGACGTTAGACAGAGAACACCCGTCTATATATTTTGTTGTTAAATGATTAGGTTAGGTTAAGTGATAGTTAGTAGGTCAAGGCTCCTGTGGAAGGGGGAGGAGGAGGAGGAAGAGGGGGAGGGGATAGAGGGAAGGGTAGGGGATAGAGGGAAGGGAGAGGAGGGAGGGATAGAGGAAGGAGGGAGGGAGGGGGGGGGAAGGGGGATCAGTTCACACATGCGGTCCTCACGTGTCCACCTCCCTCGGCGTCTCCTTCAGTCTCTCACTACACTAGGTCAGACACCCCCCCCATGGTAATAGTGATGGTGACTAGAACTACTAAGACTATTACTGCTACTACTAGAACTACTGCTACTACTAATGCCTGGACAAGATGTCGACTGTCCTTCTCTCTGCTTGGGTCTGCTTTGCTCTGCCTCAGGGGAACGAGATCACGTGCCCCAAAGCCAACAACAGTCGCAGATATTGACTATGAGGCAACAGTCACTGAACACCACATAGATCTGCGGCTCAACTAACTCAACACATCTAGGATGGCTACTTATGTATTAGGATATTTAATATTAAGGTAATAAAATTGTGGCGAAGGTGTGGCTATTGGGGGAGGCTGGAGGCCATGTTAAAAAACAGTAGTAGTAGTTCTAGTAGTAGTAGTAGTTAAGGAAGTAACAGTAAGATTAATAACAATTCAGTATCACAGTTGTTAGGGAAGATAAAAGGTTATAGTCACAACCGTCATTATAATCATAAGTTTAATATCATAACATTATCACAACACCTTAAGTAATATAACATCAGAGACAAAAGTTGATTAAAAACTATAAACTGTTGGTAACATTTGTGGGATTATGAGGGAGAGGTGAGAGGGATGAGGGAGAGGTGAGAGGGATGAGGGAGAGGTGAGAGGGAGAGGTGAGAGGGATAGGGGAGAGATGAGAGGGATGAGGGAGAGGTGAGAGGGATGAGGGAGAGGTGAGGGATGAGGGAGAGGTGAGAGGGATGAGGGAGAGGTGAGAGGGATAGGGGAGAGATGAGAGGGATGAGGGAGAGGTGAGAGGGATGAGGGAGAGGTGAGAGGGATAGGGGAGAGAGTGATGAGAGAGAGGAAGGAGGGGTGGAAGTATGTTATCACATTGTCATCAAGTTGGCATTGTGTTGGCACCATGTAAGGAGTCTAAAGTCATCCTCCTTCTTCCTCCTCCTCCTCTTCCTGCTACGTGTTCTTGCACTAAGAGAAGGTGAGGCCACACCGATCACATCGTTTCTCCATTAACAGAACACACAAGGCTATACCCAGCGGGAAGAACACTATGCTAAATATGAGCCCAGCCGTGGTGAACACATAATTTAGGGAGCCTATCTGAAAGAGAGAGAGAGAGATTTTTAATAATAATAATAATAATAATAATAATAATAATAATAATAATAATAATAATAATAATAATAATAATAATAATAATAATAATAATAATAATAATAATAATAATAACAATAATAATAATAATAATAATAATAATAATAATAATAATAATAACAACAAACTAATAATATATAATAATAATAATAATAATAACTAACAACAATAATAATAATAATAATAATAAACTAATAAATAACTTCATCATATATTAACATAACAATAATAATAACTAACTAATAATGAAAGAAATAATAATAACAATAATAATAATAATAATATAATAATAATAATAATAATAATAATAATAATAATAATAATAATAATAATAATAATAATAATAATAATAATAATAATAATAATAATAAAGAACTATATATACAAAAATTGAAAAAAAGATCAACAATGAGAAACAATATATGTATGTTGTGTTGTCAATAGTAAGAGAAACAATTGAGACCCTGCAACTGTGTGTAAATGAGGCAGAAAGTCAGATCATCAACCTGGGACTTGGTCACATATGGCAGCAGGGTCCACTATTAGACAATACAATTAGATAGATAGAATAAAGAAGAAGAACGAGGAAGGTAATAACAAGAGATCACATTGATAATCATATAAATATTCAATATGTCTTTTATTCCAGAGATGTTAAAGGAAAGATTTACTGTATAACTCACATCAACACATGAAGGCATCTTACCCTGCAGGCCGGGCAGCTGACGGTCCCATCTACCACAAAAGGGGAGGCTACAACAGGAGCCTGCATCACTGGAGTCTGCACCAGAGAAGCCTGCATCACTGGAACCTGCTTCACAGGAGCCTGCATCACTGGAGTCTGCACCAGAGAAGCCTGCATCACTGGAACCTGCTTCACGGAGCCTGCATCACTGGAGTCTGCACCAGAGAAGCCTGCATCACTGGAACCTGCTTCACAGGAGCCTGCATCACTGGAGTCTGCACCAGAGAAGCCTGCATCACTGGAACCTGCTTCACAGGAGCGGCCATTGGTGCTGCATATATCTTCTCCTGTGGTTGATGGAACACAGGATGAGTTTACGGAACACGGTGGTGGAGGAGAACCTAACCCAACCTGTCCATGTCTCGACACGGCTCATTGTTTATCTACTTCCCTTTTATAGGAAGTTAGTGACGTAATACACTTAATTATGTTACAGTATCATTCCACATGGGTAATTGAGACGCTAAACTTGTAATCACTCACTAATGACTGTACAGATTATAATTCTGCCCTTCACTAAATACACTAATGATGGTTTTGATTCTTATTACAAAATGCACAGATGTTTGTTAGGAAAAATTAATAATATGAAGAAACAAATGTAGAAAAGATGCCGTTCTTACATACATACATACATACATACATACATACATACATACATACATACATACACACATACATACATACATACATACATACACTTCACCAGTAGCCTATACTCTATAACACAATATATTTAGAGGTATAACTTTAACACTTACTAGACAGGAGTAGAAGTTGACCTATAGACGCGCGAACAATAGACAACTCTTGCACTTAGATTATCAAAAGTCAATTCCCTTCCTCTATGGTTCCTGTAATCCTTCTGTGCTCCCCCATTACACAGGCTGTAAAGGGGTGCCCATTAAACTAGCCCCCTGTACAGCGTGGAGGTGGTATGAATTCTGACTGTCTATTGCAGTGGGTAATCTTATCTTACACAGATGTTATCACTGAAGCTCTGAAGCCGGTATGATAAAACAGGAAGGTTGAGTTATTGCTGTTATCGGAGGGGAGAAACTGGGATAAAGGTGTGATAAAGAGAGAGAGAGAGAGAGAGAGAGAGAGGGAGAGAGAATCTTATAAACCTATATTTATCTAATTAATAATGTAATCAACCTTTGTATGTATAATTGAGTCACTTACAACTCTAATAATAATGATGATAATGATAATAATGAAACAACAAAGACCTGGTGATGAAAATTGAAAATAATCACACACTAAAGATCTTCCATTGTTTACCTATACGTAACAATAGACCAAACACGGCCTAAACTTTACACAACCAACCAACATTACAAAGGTGCTGTAAAGCCGAGCTCTCCACGTGGAAAGATGAATAGATATATATTAACTAAAACAGAAGCGGTATAGGATTACATGTACAGATAACGCCTTTACGGTTTTATGCGCGGGAACTCAGAGTTGAAGGTCAAGCGAGAGTTTATAATTTTAGATAGAGAAATGAAGATGTGGATAATTTGATAAAAGGAGAGATACAGAGGTGTGAAAAGAAAAAAGAGATAGAGACTTGTTGAGAGTGAATATTAAGGCCAAGGTTAGTGACTGCTGCTGCCTCTCTTCAGTCAACAGATCATAAGACGATGCGTCAAAAATGATATTTACATGTTAACATCTTCTCCCTCACACTTAGTAAACTCCTCATTCCTCGGAAACGACATGACTCGTTGTGCACAAGTCAGATTTTCTGCCGGAGAACAGCGGCCAGAAGGGATTTCGAATCGAGTCAGAGTTTGGTTGGGAAATCGACGGAATTTCTGGTTATTTCCTTATATAATACTTCTTGTTGAATTACAGCGGTAAAATGACAACCATTCCTGCCATACCAGCCACACCAAAGCCTACCACCCTCGTCCCCACATCTCGAGGTAACGTGTTCACTGGTATGACCACAAAACTATCTATGTAAGGCCTCTGTTGTAGCAGCCATGAGGACTAGTCAACGCATCCCTACCGCATACGCTACCACCACGCCACGCTTCTCCCACCACGCCCACGTTACTCTCACCGCCACGTTACCCTCACCATGCCCGCTTCCCCCACCACGCCATTGCTCCCCCACCAAGCTACCTCACCACACGCGCTCCCCCTCGCCCACGAGAACAGGTCGGTGCACCTACCACGCCACAGGAACTATACCCATGTGCTAAGACAGCCCCTGTCGGTGTGTTGACCTATACTGACCACCTGGTGCCCCACTTTTTTTACCTAACTAACAACAGCCGGTGACCTTCCTTGCCATGACACTACCAATTTCTCCTCCCTCCTCTTCCCCCCCTCCTCCCTCCTCCCCCCTCCCATCTCCACCTACCCCTCACCCTCAATCCACTCTCCCTCTCTTCTCCATCCCCCCTTCTTCCTATTCCCCACCTACCCTTTCTCCTCCTTCCCTATCCCCGTTCCTCCCTTCTCTTCATCAAATCATCCCCCTCCCCCTTCCCCTCCTTCCTCCTCCCCTCCCTCTCTTCCCCTCCTTCTCTCCACCCCCCCTCCTTAAAAGCAAAAGCTTACGGGTGGAGTGACAGCGTCTTTTCTCTGGCGCCAGTGGCGGGGAGCAGCAGGGGGGGGAGCAGGAGGAGAGAAGAAAGAAAGAGGTGGGGAGAATGACCATGAGGAGGAGGAGGAGGAGGAGAAGGAAGAGGAGGGAAGAAGAGGAGGAGAGAAGGTGTCTGGGCGAGTGTCTTAGGTTTGTGGTCATGGAGTGTCTTAGTTCTGTGGTCATGGGCAGGTGTCTTAGATCTGTGGTCATGGGCAGGTGTCTTAGTTCAGTGGTCATGGGCAGGTGTCTTAGTTCTGTGGTGTGGGCGGGTGTCTTGGGTCTGTGGTCATGGGCGGTCAGCTCTTGGAGTCTTAATGGTCATGGGCTTTGAGTGTCTTAGTTCTGTGGTCATGGGCAGGTGTCTTCAATTCTGTGGTCATGGGCAGGTGTCTTAGATCTGTGGTCATGGGCAGGTGTCTGGATTCTGTGGTCATGGAGCAGGTGTCTTTAGTTCTGTGGTCATGGGCAGATGTCTTGAGTCTGTGGTCATGGGCAGATGTCTTAGGTCTGTGGTCATGGGCAGGTGTCTTAGTTCTGTGGTCATGGGCGATGTGTCTTAGATCTGTGGTCATGGGCAGGTGTCTTGGATTCTGTGGTCAGCGGGCAGGTGTCCTAAGTTCTGTGGTCATGGGCAGATGTCTTGAATTCTGTGGTGTGGGCAGGTGTATTAGGTCTGTGGTCGCCTGGGCAAGCTGTCCATGTGTGTGTGTGTGTGTCGTCTCTAAAAGCTTGTGGTACTGTTGCAGATCTGATAGCCCATCTGTTTACCATTGTGTGTCTATCTGTCTATCTATCTATCTATCTATCTACATATCTCTGTCTATTCAGCCAGGTGGAGCTAATCTACAGGTGGTCAGGTCTTCGTTGTATACAGAAGAATTTACACCTCTTATCAGATCTCTCTCTCTCTCTCTCTCTCTCTCTCTCTCTTGACCTTCACGTGGACATAAACTTGGGTATGATTTAGTGTGCTTGTCATCCTCGTCTAGTTCACATCATAAACAACTGGTAGACCTAAGGGTTGTTATCTAGTGTAAAGACCTGACCTGTTTTTATGTGCCTGAGACCTGACCTAGCCAACTAACCTAACCTAACCTAGCAACGCTAGCCTGTCCTAGCCTAACTAACCTAGCCCTAACTTCTTCTTCAACCTAACCTAACCAACCTAACCTAACCTAACCTAACTTAACCTAACCTAACCTTTATCTTATTTCTGCCTAATGTGAGTCACCTAGCACTACCTGGTGGGGGGTTGGGTTAGATTAGGATAGGTGGAGTGGAATAGGCCAGAACTGGACAGGATGGGATTTAATTGGGTTAGCGACAAGACCAGGTTGAGTTAGAACTCAGGACCAGCGTTAAGTTAGGTTAGAACCAGAGTTAGCAGATAGAATGGGATTGGGATGGAGATGAGATGAGTTAGCGTTAAGTTAGGTTAGGTTAGGTTTGGTTAGGATAGGTTAGCGTTAAGTTAGGTTAGGTTAGGCTAGGTTAGGATAGGTTAGCGTTAAGTTAGGGTTTAATGATGTTCTTTGTGTATGAGAGTTTCGAGTTGCTATTATTGTTGTGTTAATTAAACGGAAACGTATCTACCTTACTTAGCCTTTCGTTGTTCCAATACACAAGTACCGTACATTCTAAAACTCACACGTGAATTACTTTTCAAATCGTCAAACTCATCAATAAATATTCATATAACATGTAAATAAAATGTAAAAGAAAATATGCATCACTGATATTAACCCCGTGTTTACAAGTTGCTTAACCAAAACAAAACATTGCAGTCACACACACACAGTCACACACATACACACACAGTCACACACACACACACACACACACACACAGAGTCACACACATACACACACACACACACACACACACACACAGTCACACACACACACACACACACACAAGGCCACATGCTTATAGTGTCAATAATAAATAGAATATTCATTTATAAACCTTCATAATTATCCCCCCCCCTTCCTATTACAACCCGGATTTACTATTACTCGTTATAGTAAACAAACTATTAAGGATCCTATTAATAACGTCATCAAGGTGTTCATTGTCTCCCTGTCACTATGAAAATGTTGTTTTATGTGAGTAAGCGGACGACACCTGCGGAACTTCCTCAGTCAGCGTGATAATTTTAGGTTAGGTTAGGTTAGGTTAGAGTCTTTGTTGGTTAGGTTAGGTTAGGTTAGGTTAGAGTCTTTGTTGGTTAGGTTAGGTTAGAGTCCTTGTTGGTTATAATCTAGTCTTTGGCGCCAACGTTACACTTAACAGAACGATGTACAGTTGTGGACAAAATTCCCTGGTCACTTGATAGTATTTGACATCTCCTTCCCGAGCCCTCACTCCTAAGCCGTGATACATGCTTGATGATGACGATGATGAAGTGACAAATGACTTTTCCGTGAGAGAGGAGAGGAATGAGAGAAGGAAAGAATAGAAACGGGAAGTAAAGTAATAAGGAGTAATAGCAGAAGGGCTGTCTACCTAGCTGAGTCGTGGGGGGGGGGGGGTGGCTAAACTAGCTAGGCGAGACATTCATTAGTGTAATGTGTCTTAATTTATGTTAGTTAAATGGTGGTGTTATTTGTTCATAAAGTGGGTCTTCTTCTGTGTTAGCATGGAGGCTCTTGGGCCACCAGCTGTGTGTTCTAGTAGTAACTGCTTTTAACTGGGAGAATATTGGGTCCTCCAACTCTTAAAGTTTGCTCCTTATTCTCTGGGCTTGGCTGTGTGTACGTGTGTTCAGTGGTTCGATATTGTATAATTCGTGAAGTTTTTGTATTTTGGTGGTGTATGGGAGGAGTTGCTTTGATAGCTTTGTTTTGTACTGATTGAAGTTTAAGTTGGCTGGTTCTGCTGATCGTGCTGAGTGGTATTGGTGGGTACTCAAGGTGGGGGCGGTACAAGTGCTTTGAATAGGTGTAGTTGAATGTTGGTGTCCATTTTGCCGAATCTTCGTAGTTTTGTGAGTTGTGATTGGGCAAGCGTTTTGTGTTGTGTTAGGTGTTTTGTTATGCCTGTTATTGTTTTTTTGAGTTCCAGTATTTTTACCTTCGTTGGAGTATTGGATGTGTTCGTTGTTGACTGTGATTGGTGCTGGGTTTGTTTTGACAGTGTGAATGATTTTTAGTTTCTGTGTATTAGATTGGATTTTCCACGTTTTTTTTATAATTGTTTATTTGCTCGATGGCGTGGGCTGTTTTTCGTGCCATCATCTGTTTGGCCTTGTCTGGATGAAGGATAATTTGGGTGATATCATCGGCTTAAGTTATGTATTCTCAGCAGGCAGGAGGTGGTATGTCCGTCGTGTATATCGTGTAGAGTGTTGGCGAGAGATACC